TCTGCCCGTGCTCTCGCAGCGCCGGGGGGGCCCGCCGCTTGGTTGATTTGCCTCCCCCCGCCCCGGGCTAACCCCTTCGACAGCCCCAAAACCGGTGCCGAAGGAGCAAAGCCCGGCCCCGGGGCGAGTTTCTGTCCGTGGCTGGACAACCGGGTCCCCGATCCCGCCTTCTAGGAGCGCGGAAATCTGTGCATAGACTGTTTTGATGGCGGGGTGGTACAGAACCCCGCAGGTTCCCATAGGGAAGCCTTTGGTATCTCCTAAGTCATCCCTAAGTGGGGTGCGTGGTCTCCATCGATAGTTTAGCGAGGTTTAACAGTTGCATTTCTCCAAAGAGCCGTGAAAAGAAAACCCGACTCTCTTTTCCTGTAAAGTCTCTTCTCTTTCAAACCCAAGCCCAGCTGGATGCTCCCAGCTTGGCGGTCGCTCTGTGAGTCATGTCGTCACCCTTGTCATCTTTACCTCCCGCGCCTCCCCAGAGGGGAGAGGACCAAGAGGAATAAGCAGTCAAGAAAAACTTTGTAAATTATATTTGCAGGGTCACAGAGAGCAAAAACTGGAGGGAAAAGCGGTTCTTTTCTGCATTGGTGTTCAATGCGCCTGTCTTGGGAGCAACCCCGTATTTGTCCATTTGCCCTTAGTAGCATCATATTGATGTTTCCTCTCTTAATGCATGAAGTACGCAATTCAGAGGAGTGTGAAATCATCAGGCAAAACTGCCTTTTGCAATTTAAATGTCACATTTAATGCTGTTTTGAATGCCAGTTTAACACCTGCTAGGAGCTGTACAGTCAGGTTGAGGAAGCTTTATTGTTGTGATGTGATTAGAAAGGGAACTGGGACAGAAAGCGCTCACCGCGTCAAGAGTGGGTTGCCTTGATCTGAAGTTTCTGCCTTTTTTGTAGCTTACATGAAGCTGTCTCACATCCAGATTTGCTGAGCTCTGTTAAGAGAGCAATAAGATGGTTCCTGTTCTGTTGTTGTTGTTGTGCATAGGGCAAAGCTGTTTTCCTCTAGATAAGTACGTTTGTCTCAGCTGGAATTTACTTTGCAGCAGAAAGTCTTCAGGGAGTTTTATATTCCAGCAGTTTTGTGGGAGTTGGAAGACATCCCTCAGCAGCCTGGAAGGACTAGTACTGCTTAACTGGTATGCAAACAAACTCCCTCGGCCAAGCTGCAATCTTGCTTTAGCTACTTGTGATGCGTTCCTAAAGAAGGTCAGAGGGCCGCTATTTTGAGTGCAATCTTGTTATCTCCAGGCAAGTATGCTTTTTACTTATAATGAGCCTTCTGAAGGGCTCCTCTAATACTACCTTTGAGTCAATGACTTCAAGTGTCCTTACTAGAGAGAGGCAACATTTATGTTGTACTGCTCATCCTAAAGCAGCTCAAATGAATTGCAAGAGGAAAAAAAAAAGAAAAGATGTTTTCAAGTGGTGAAGAACAGCTCCTCTGAGGTGCTGAATGCGACATCTCTTAACGATAGAAAGCAGTTATGGGAGGCAGAGAGTTTCCCAAAACTGTTAAAATCAAGCCTGGTAGGAGATTACCTGGTAACAGTAACACTGCCATTAGTAAAACCCTACAGTATTGTGCTTTCCGTGGCAGCAGACTTCAGTGGCAGATTTTTTTCTTTCCTCCCCTGAGATCAAGCTGTTGTGTTTTTAGTGCTCGGGAAATGCCTGGCAAAGCTTGGGAATAACAGCAGTGTAAAGCCAACGCTGCAAAATTGCTCCTGCGCATCCAATTTATCGGTGGTCTTAGCCTGCCCAGTGCATTGCCCGCAGGTATTGTTGTCGAGAGGGGAGATTCCTGTTTCTGCTTTGTCATTCAGTTAGCCTTGCCAGTTTGTTTTGCCAAGAAAAATATTTTATCAATGCATATTGTATTCCACAGAAACCCTTGTGTCTTCTGAAAAGAGTTCTTGGCACGGTAAAAGAAACGAGTTAAAATGAGATGTAAACATCTCGGCTGGATTTAAGATTAGACCCAGAAAGTTGTATTTTGTACTTGTTCCCACTTTGTTGTTTTGATAATGGAAAGAGAGAGCCTGGTTTCACTTTCTGGTCCTCTAACCCTTGCACAGTGTCACAGCTTTGATGTTTTCCTTCCTGCTGGCACGGGACAATGCTTATAGCTGAAACTGTGCTGTTTCAGTTGAGACCGTCGTGCCAGAACATTTTTAAATTGATTTTTGTTAAAACTCTTGTGCAACACACAATCTTCGTCTCAAAGGGAACAAGGCAACATCTGTTTACTCTGATCAGTGAACTCCCTCTGATCTCTCCAGTGAAAAAACAGGGAAACTTGCCCTGATGTTATTTGTGCTTGGTACCCATTTTCTTAGTCCAGAGGACTTAGATGCTGTTAACTGTTGGCTGTTAGTGTATAGATATTTGAGTTTAAATGATTGAAACAAGTTCTAGTTTCTTGTTACCTTACAGATCCCATTCTCCCTTAGTCTTTGTAGACTCATTCATTATCTAAAACCAGAGGTTGATGCCTTCTTTCCTGTGTTGTGTGCATCCCATTAAATCACATTTTCTCTTCCAGCTTCCAAAGAGAACAGGAAAAGTGCAAAAGAAAATTGTTTCACGATGCATGCAGAGCTCCTGAACACTTCTGCTGGTTTAATGGGATTTTAAGATCGTTTCTCAGTAGCTGTTTGTACTTCGTGTGACTCAACAGTGAGGACAGGATTTTTTCCTTTTCCGTCCTTTTGGTAGGATGTTGCACTACTAGTTGTCCAAAATCAAGGGGTGATCTCGGACATCCCATGGCCTAGTCCCATGGAAGGGGAGTAAGGCAGCTCTATTTAGAGGCAGGCTTATCTGAGCTGCAGATCACACCCCTACATCACTTGTGGCTTTGTTTACCGACCCCTTTGTCACTGGCAGGCAGTGTGTTGCTGGAAAATACTGTTCCTTTTAAGAGAGGTGGCAGCTGCAAGAGCAAATGGAAGCAGTCCCTGCAGCCGCTGTGCTGGCAGGCATTTTTGTGCAATGGCCTATGCAGGTGGATTCTTCCACCATGCAGCGTTCGGCACCTCCTTGCACCCATAGCAGCTGGGCCTGCTCATTTCTTATGGGAAGAGGGGTGATGGTGATTGCAAGAGTGTTGCTTCGCTGTTACAAGGTCTTGAAGAGCAGGTGTGAAGGGTACAGGGGTGAAATGTTTCCATACTTACAAAGGGCTCGATGATGAGGACTCTTGTTCTTTCCAGCCTGGTTTTGCAGTGGACTGACTGATGGTCTGACTTTTTATCTGGCTGCATCTCTATCATGTGGTACAAAAGGATGAGAGGAAGTGGCCTCAAGTTGCGGCAAGGGAGATTTAGGTTCGATATTAGGAAAAATTTCTGTACTGAGAGGGTTGTCACACATTGGAATGGGCTGCCCAGGGAAGTGATTGAGTCACCATCCTTGGAGGTATTCAGAAAGCGCGTAGACAGGGTACTCCATAACATGGTTTAGTGGGCATGGATGATGGTTGGGCTCGATCTTGAAGGTCTTTTCCAACCTAAATGATTCTATGATTCTATGAAAAAGTGAAAGACTCTGAATTCAAGCCTCATGATTTCTTGTGCTTCCAGGCATTTTGCAAGACTTCCCTAGTGATCTAAAGTGCTTTGAAGATGCTAAGCTAAGTAAATGCTGGGTGTTTGAACGCTGGTGCTAACAAGTAACTGTCCCTTAGGTCTGCTTGGGAGGGTGAAGGGTAGATGTGAACAGCTGCCTGGTATGTGCTGGAAAGGATGCAGCAGCTCTGATTTTGGTGTTTGTCTTGGGAAAGGGTGCAGGGCATAGAGAGATAACGGTGCAGGCGCTCTGAAGGTTTAGGCAATTTCAGATCCTGTTACTTCCCAAGTCACAGGAGAGCTCCTAGTAGTCGGGAGTTTGTGATAAGAAGATGAGGTTCTCGTAGGGCCAAACCCAATAAATCACTACAGTGATGCCTCTCTTCAACCTCATCCACGATTAAGGGAGGCAGAAGTATGAGTCTGCTTCCAGATGCACCCCAAAGGTTTATTTTTTTAATAGCTCAATATTATCTTAGGCTTGATACCAAGCATCAGTTTGCTTGGCTTCTGCTGAAGCATGAGCCTCATTTATTCTTGATAGATGCTAGCAATCTCAGGTCTGATGTGAGAATACATTTCAGCCTTCCTTGCTGTTTGATGCTCAGTTTTATGTGCACCTGCCAAGAGGAGTGCATTGTTG